CTTAAGTTATAATAATTATAAAAAATTAAAATAATTATAAGTTATAAAGAAATTTAAAAAGAAAAATAATAAAGGTTAGGTTTATAAATTAGTAATAACTTTATATAGTTGGAAACTACAGGCCTATATATTAGCTTTTACCTATAGGCGCTACTTAATTTTATAAGTTTGTATAGTAACTTAGTTTTGCCCTCTTAATCTTGAATAGGATACCGGGGCGCCTTGAATTCATGTTTGCTTCCCAACTGCTGCTCACTCGTCTCAAACAGTGCTATTTTCTTCGTTGGATGGCTTGACCTCACGCCAACCTTCAAGCCCTGCCTTGTCTTTCCACTTCTGGGTATTCTCGTTGTATTGCTCCAACCACTTAGCCATAGCATCACTGGCCTGCGCAACAATCTCTGTCTTCGCTTGGCGCGCATCTGCTGCATCCCTTTCGAGTTTCTTGTTTGAGTTACTCCCGATCTGCCCGTCGCGCTCTTTTCTCTTCCTCTCCCGGTCGGCCAACCATTCTTTCCTCCCAGCCAGATATTTCGCGCTGTGTCCTAAACCAGCACTTTCGTGGGATATGCCTTTGTGGGGTCTGTCGAGAGGAGGAGCAGTGAAGAAGAGAACTCGACCAGAACTGTCATGTTGAAATGACTCCCGCAACTCCTTTGGCATCGCATCATTCATATTGTCGGGAAGTGCGTAGACCTCTGGTGGTCTAGGTGGGTTATACACATTGCCACCCTGCATAGGCATCCCTGGCGCAGCCGGCATAGGACTGCGAGCAACTGGAGTGGCCTGCACTTGGTTGTATGCCTGGGTCATGTGGTTTGGCATAGGTGTTTGCTGAGGCATAGGAGGAACCGGTTGCCCATAGTTAGGGGCGAATCCTTGTGCATATCCTGCCTGCGAATGTTGAGGTTGGTGTTGATATTGCACAGGCCGCACAGACACTTGAGGCTGGGCACCCAGGTGGGGTTGATGTGGAATAGGTACTGGAGTCTGTTGAACTTGTGCTGGTTGGGCGCCAGGAGTGACCGGCTGAAAGTGAGGTGTCATGTGAGCATTGTATGGGACGGGCGAAGGCGAAGGACCTCCAGGATAGGATATTGAAGGATGTCTCCCGGAATGATCGCTAGGAATGCCACCAGGCACTGACAACATTGAAGCGCGCCGGCCAGAATCAGCGCCAGCATCAGGTAGTGGGACCGCCGACATGGCTTGTGGCGGAGGGGTAGGCACTGGCGGTGGTGATTCCTAGAAAGTTATGGTTAGACGCGTGCGACAATAAAGTGAGACGAAAGAAGGCCTGAGGCATGCATGAAGCACGACCAAGAAGCAGGCATCGAGTCGAAGCTGGGAAGGGGAAAGAAAGGCGTTGGCGGGCAGGGATCATGCAGGGCGTATGTTTGCTGATAACGAATAGAGCGACAGCCAGCCGAGTCATGGCATGGCATGGCATGGCACTGGCAGGAAAGAAGAAACGAAAGAGCAGATGCATTTCACTTACATTGGCCTCTCGTTTACGGCGATGTACCGCTCCAACAATAGGCGGAGCATTTGGGCTTCCCCATGTTGGCTTGGGGAGTTCATCTGTCTCCTTTGCATCCTCGCGGAGCAAGTGCTTAATAGGGCTGGGAATCTTCTTCATGCGCCGAGGCACATCAAAGAGGTCCATTTCATAGTCCTTGTCGCGTACCTCATCTGGGACACAGCTTGCCCACGTCTTGATCTTGTTGAATGTGAACTTCTCCTCGTTGTAGCGTGATTCACACACATAAATCTCCTTGTCCAGAGGAAATCCTCGAGGTCGCCCTTTATTGAATCGGGTCACGAACATGACAAAGCACCGATCCAAAACCTCTTCGATTTGATGATCCCGATATTGACCTGTCTTGACGACTTCATGCTCGAAGAAATGCTTCTCATATCGATGCACAGTCTGTTCTGGTCGGTAGTACCAGCAGGCATTGATCCATCTTTGACCAGCACGGTCTTGCCAAGTTCGATAGATTTGCGCCACGGTGGGCTTGGCTAGATCATTGGGGTTTCTAATGTGAACCCAATCACCTATATTCATGTTAGCCGCGTGACAACACTGGAGGCACATTGCATAGCGGTATCTCTATATGTACGTACCGACTTTCCAGGCCTGCCCGTTATGTTGGATCTCTGCCAGCGGTAACTTGCCGTCTTCATCTCGGAAATCATCATCAGGTTTGGCCTTTTCCTGTTCAGCTAAAAAGACAGCCTCTTTCTGCAGCTCAACCGCGGCCTTGTACACTTCGCTGTCATCCTCATTATACCGCTTGGCATTCTCAAACATGAGATTGAGGTCCTGAAGAACATGGTCGATGCTTTGATACTTCTTCCGCTTGGCCTTTTTCTTGATATTGTCGAGAGCGATGGGGTTTGGTATCGTTGTATAGTAATCTGGTACAGCTGCTTTGTCCGGTAGCTTCTCGAAAGGATGAACAAGTAGATTTCCTGCAGCGTCCTTGGGCTTTCTCAATCCCTTCAATAGTGAAGCGATGCGGGCTTCGTTCGGTGTCAGAACACTAGGAGGGCGACCCCTTCGTTTGTGCGAATCATCTTCGTAATCTTTGTCCTGATCTCTTCGACCAGCGCCACGTCGTCTTCGTCCCCTGCGTCGTCCGCTTTCATCATCTGAATCGTCATCCTCATCCTCATCCTCATCTTCTTCTTCATCGTCGTCGTCGTCGTCTTCCTCGTCTTCCTCGTCCTCCTCTGCGGGTGGAGACTCTTCTGCGGGTGGTAATTCGCCCAGATCTGGCAATTGTGCATTATTGGCATCGATGTGGCCCTTTTCTACAAGCTTCTTGAGTTCTTGGACAAGAATTTCTCGAAGACGAACTGCGGCACCGAAAATAGGAGCGGAGGGTCGGTTGTAAACTTGAGCGTTGTGACAGATTTGCGCAACATCCTTGACGAACTCGGCAAATGAGCCGTATTGTTTCTTCTGGGTTTTGCCCTATCGTTTTTGGTCAATGATCCATATACCAGTTGCCAAGACCGCATGGTACCTACTCGGATGGTACTGAAAGCAATGGGTTCGGCGATGATTTCGAAATAATCGGGCAGCGTCCTTCTATTCGGGATGCGCTGGAAGCCAGCAGCAAGCTGCTCACCACTATAAATCTGTCAGAATCACCTAATCCTCTCTTACACTAGGGGGGGGAGCATACTCATCCTGAACGCTGCACAGATAGGTCGAGAGATTATGAATCAAGCGATACATATCGGGACGGCCTTCATCGTCCACCTCACCTTCTGCGTCCTCTTCACCTTCGGCATCTTCGTCACCTTCTGCGTCCATATCTACGTCAGGGTCACCTTCAGCATCGATATCATCGTCCGGTGTATCCTTCATATCGATATCCACGGAGGCAGTCTTCGCTTCTATGGACTCGCGCACCTCTGGCGCGTTCGCCCTCCGGCTGGACATGACAGGCTCGTGAGACCACAAGGTGCGGTCGCAATGCGGGAAATCGAGGCTTTAACGGCGCGTACTATTCGCGTTTGTCAAGTTGATCTATATTGCGGCATTCAGTTGAGGAGGCGGGTTGTACTGCGAAATCACGGCAGCGGGAGGAAGCTGTAGGTAATCAAAGAGTACCTGTATACTATTCCTGAGCTTGATTGCCCTGGACAGCGCGTGCATTTGCGCGCGCGACTTCTCGCACTGTAATTGGCTAGAGTGGCTGTGCATTTCCCAAAGCGGGTCCCAATCGGCTGTCACTTGACACATGGTTGTGATGTTCCATGGTGCCAGCTTTCATCCAGGTGATTGATTCAGTCAGACAGGTTTGATCTAGCCTTACCTACTAAGGTATTGTTTCTGTGATTCATATACCGGACTTGTATACCTGTTACTCAAGCTTATAGCATTCTCTTCTTGTGGTTCCAAACCCTGCTTAAAAGGGACTTAGTGACTCGCTTTCCTATTGCTTCCTTCCAATTCCTCGCCTTAGAGTAAACCAGCCCCTCCTCCCTCACTCACCTCAAGCTCAAGCTACTGTCACCCAAACACATTAATCGCCCATATCCGTCACAAGAAAACCCGGGAGATTGTAATCTTATACTGAATCTTACACATAATCACCGTCATGCGAGCTCGTTATAAAGGTCCAGCCGGTACCGGTATCCTCGAGATACCCGATGATGCCACTGTTAAGTTGCTATTTGATGAACTGCGAGCCAAGACGGGAATTACCACTTTTGGCATAAAGTATGGCCCTCCCATGGCTATGAAGACTCTCGAAGCTAGCCAAAGTGATCAAATTGCTCGATCTCTTGGTCTTCACGGTGAGACACTCACTATCGTACCCGAGGACGTACCACCTCCCGCACCTACTGCGCCGCTTCAAACTGGCACTACCCGTCAAGCAATGACATCTCGAGCGGCAAAGCGGAATGAGAGCCCAGAGGATGTCAACGTTCCGTGGCCAGAACAGGGTGGAACTCTACGTAAGTGGTAACCTTTTGTTGGCCTCCAAAGACTATCGTTATTAACGGCATGTAGTTCTAAGGGTGATGCCTAGCGATAACAGCTGTTTATTCACAGCTTTTGGTGGTGCCCTGCAAGATCAGATTCCCGCTCAACGGCTGAGAAGGATGATGGCTGACTACATCGTTGAACATCCCGAAGATTACTCAGAAGCTGTCCTCGGTAGTCCTCCCAGCCAATATTGCCGCAGTATTCAAAACCCTGATCGGTGGGGAGGCGGGATTGAACTGAGCATCTTGTCTTCCATCTTCGATATCCAGATCTGCACGTTTGATGTCCAGGTTAGTCGAAATATTATGCTGCACCGCTCCACAACTAACATTGAAGATTACAGGCCCAAAACCTAATCAACTTCGGAGAGGACAAGAGAGATCGCTGTATTCTTGTCTATTCAGGAATTCACTATGACCGAGTTGCCTTTAGCCTGTCTGACTACCCACATGACTCGCCTACTTACCCTCCTGAGATGGATCGAACTGTTTGGCCGACTGATGACGACGAGATACTCGAAAAGACCAGAGAGCTCGTCGAGAAGCTCAACAAGGCGCACTATTACACTGATACGGAAGGACTACTTCTACGATGTGACGTACCGGGATGTAACTGGATAGGAAGCGGCCAGCGTGAGGGACAGAAGCATGCAGAACTCACAGGACACGTGGCTCTGAGTGAAATCCAAGACGAAGGTGACAACGTGCTCCGGAAGTGTGACACGCCTGGATGTGATTTCATCGGCCAAGGCGACAAGGTTATGAGGCAGCATAGTGCAGATACTGCTCATGAGAGGTTCTCCATTATTCCGGACTGGTGAGAAGGAACTGACCGAAAAATGAGGCCTTCGGTGCTCTTCGTCCTTCTAGGCATTTCAAGTAGTTTGTTGAGATTTTGAACACACTTAGCGCTTCGAACACTGAAACGAGACATCGCTTTGCAACAATTGCACGCTGCTGATGATCTTCACAGTGAACTGAGATCAGATTGGTACTGAGATGCAGCAAAAGGGGGTGTCTTGACATGGCTAGCTATTGGTACAAATGCCATGAGAGAATGGCGTTGTTCACTGAAACCTCCATGTAAAACTTGGTAACGGCTGGTATCGCTTCCCAAACACTTCCTTTCCAACCTTTTGCCTGGCATATCGATTATCCCATCATGCTGGGACATAGAGTACAGGGAAACTCTCATGTCGCTTCGTTGCTCTGCTGGGCAAGGAGGCTTTGTGATATGGCTTTGTTTTTGAATGAAAGCATAACCAGAAAACTACGGGTTGGTAATCGCTTCTGATAATAAAGGGCCATGCTGAGCAGGGTAGCTGCTTTCCGTTCAGGCGTATCGAACGCGACGCCTTTGCCATTCAATTGGCCTTTTGAGACAGCTCAGGTTTATGTACTGAGTCAATGTTGGCCAGTGAAAGGTTCAAGAACTCATGTTTATTAGACCAATTCTGCTGTTCGTCGGCAAACTCCTTCATCTGCTGAGGGGGGGGCGGTGGGTCAGTGATCTTGGTGATCAGGTATGCGGTGGATGCTTCGGCAATGCCATAGACGAGAACGCCCACCAGAGGGATTCTGACAAGGATGTAGAATCCCAGACCGAAACCAAACAGAACTCCCTCGCGGCTGCGGAACCAATTTCGCTTTTGATCCTTTGTAAAGTGAACACGAGCGAAGTATGGCTCAAGTAACTCTCGCATCAAACTTCTGGAAGAGAAGTAGCTCTGGAGAAAGATTACCAGGTACCTTCGAGGGAGGAAAATTCCCGTACCGAAGATGATCGAAGCAGGTCCCAAGCCCACGGCATTGTTGAAGGTGTAAAAACTGGCCGCGGGCAGGACAAATCGACCAATGTAAGGTGTGTATGAGAGTGCGAAAACTGCTAAAGAAATACCACCTTTGCGAAGGAAGCGGTAGAGAAACATGGAAACAGCCTGAGCGGTACTTTCAGAGTGCGTGCTTCCATCGGAGGGACGGTACATCTTGAGGTTGGGATAGTACATATCCCGAAGCTCCGAAGGCTTATCACCCCTGTGCTTTTGAACATAGGTCATATCAACCCATTGCAGGGACTGCATGAAGCTATTTGAAGGAGATGAGATACTTTCAAGTGTTTCGTGACATTTTGTTTTGAACTTACAGGTTATCGAGAGTCGGTACAACATAACGCATTAGGGCCATGAGGAAGAAGGGGACTTGGAGGACATATTCTGCGACAAAGTCAAGCCCACCAACGAGAGTGTCGTCCCATGTGACGGCATCAAGAGATACAAAGAATGAAACGAGCCATAACAAAACCTTGATCCCGACGATCTGATCGTGCGGTCAGCAAGGTTGCTCTTCTGCTCATGCTGGTAATGAAACTCACGGGTATGGTGACGATTAGTCTAATAGCAAGACCTGCCACCACTGCAATGGCAGCCTGACGATAGTGATCGGTTGTGAAAAGTGCCGGATTCTGCAACGCTCGATGAGCTATATTACTGGTTAGTGATGGGCAAAAGGCATGATGCCATATGGTGGATGTAACTGACCTCCCACCAGAGTGAGCTGAGCGCCACGTAATACGGTATTGGGATCGAAGTGAGAGAGATCGAATTTTTCCTCAAGCTTCTCCTTCAGCTTGTCTTTATCAAGTTGAGCCTTTTCGTTAGACGACATCTTGAGAGCTGAAGCTAGGTATGGGAAGCTGAAGGGTATGAGGGAGTCCAAGCGGTAGGCGCCCAGAGCTCAAGTTGAGCTTGTGTCGACGGGCTGAACTTTAGTGAATACACTGTATCAGGCACGGAATCTTTGCCTACCCCTCTGAAGAGAGTGAAGTGTCTTTTTGAGACTGTTGATAATTTGGCGGTCTTAGGTTTTGGTTAATAAATGAAAGTAATAGTGATATTCAGGAACATGAGTTGGGAACCTTGGAATGGTGAGACTGTAAGGTGACGTAAGTATTGTGTACACAGTTGGAGCTTACGCCACATTGGCGGCTGAGTTAGTTATCTAGGTAGCTCTTGGCCCAGCTATAGGTGAGGCTGGTGTATCCACAAGGAAGCAAGAATGACATATGATAGGAAGGTATGTGAGAACTACAAGACAAACACTGATCTTTAAAGATTGTCTTTGAAAGAGCCGCAATCCTCTCGAAATTACACGACACAGCAACTTTCCCATATTTCTGAAGAGAATTCTCTTGACCGAGACAAGTGCTCATAACCTGGAGCCTCGGTTTACTGTGTCCCCCAACCTCCACTTAAACCAGTTGTGATTGCTCCGCCATCTCTTTATGGCTGGCTAGGGTAGGACAACTGCACCTAAGTGGCGTTCGCAGCTATTTATGCAAGGTCCAGCTCATCCATCTTACCTTCGTACCTTGGTGGGAAAACAAAGGAATGTATCATAAAGGGACAGCCAAGTTCAACGCGTCAACGTTCTTCTTGCACGGAGCGTTGAGTTCATCGGACGATAAATCTTAGTTATGAGCATATCCTTATCGTATGACGATTCAAATCTCTTACACCAAGCGTTTTACAAAACTTGAGTGGCAATGGGGCTTGGACTCGCTGTGTACAGCAAAGCCCCGAGTTTACTGAACAGCTCTAGCTCAATCAATGGATCGAGGAGCGGGACAACAGGATCATCAGCGGGCCTAGGAATGTATGCGGATGACTAAGGCCACACCCTTCTAAACTCCCCTGTAAATTTACCTAGGTACAGCGCAGTACCTTAGCTAGCCTCCAGGGGCAAGAAAACTCAGACCTAGAGGTAGGGTATCAAAAATAAACTCAGCTAAAGATATCCTAAAATTGGTAAAGTTAACCTAAACTTTTCCTTAAGTTACCTAAATGTTTTTGTCATTTAGGATTAAGGTCCTGAGTATTCTTTCCTCCTCTAGGCTAGGTATCTTACCTAGGAGGTGGGTTAGTAGCTTATAGGTAGTAGATGGCTGGGCCATACTCCTTCCGCCGTCGCCTCAGCACCTCGGATCGGAAGTCGAGGGAACGAACAAAACAGAAAAGAAGAGACCTTCCTACCTACCTACACTCGGGTTGTTCGATAACGATAAAGATAGCCAACACCCAAGAGTCCCTCCCCTCCCCCTATTCGTTGTTCTCCCCCCTTTGAGCTTCTGTTTCCCCTCTATACCTCCAACTAGGTACCTACCCTGCGTAGGTAGTCTCGGGCTCCCTTCCACTGAGGCGTTGGTTGGTCAGGGGACTCGACTGCGATCCATCAACTCGTCACGACCCGGCGCGACAACCACAACTCAACCAACATCCGCGGCGGGCGCGCAGCCATGAACGATCTTCCCTGTTTGTCTCTTCGAGATATTTGAGATGTAGCCAGGTCGAACAAATATTTGCGCTATCAAAAAAAGAACAAAGTGCCGCGACGTCACATCCTTATCATGGACGATTCGGGCGACGATTTGGCGGCTCGAGGGCCCAGACGAGTATCAACCGCCCCGATGCCTACACGAGGTCCCATGGAACCAGAAACCCCCGACTCAGATCTTGTCGAAACACTCTACAGTCATCCAAATGTCAAGATAATTTCCTTTACGGCCACTGGTCGAGCCTATGCGAGGAGTCCTGGAGGGCCGGCCTTGAGCAATGTTGATCCACCAAGTTCTTTATCATGGTCCTCACAGCTCGAGAGAACCATCGCTGTAGGTGAGTTGATAAACGAATACCTGTGTATGCACCGCTAGTTGCTAAGTAAAGTACATAGGACCCTTTCGCATATATCGAGCCCCAAGATCGGTAGCCTTCTTGAGCTGCGGTTCTGCACTGCAACCAATTCTACGGAAAAGCCAGTGCTGGTGTATAGACGAGGTCAATAGTAGGTTTGTCCTACAAATACGGCGACCGAACTACTGGAGAATAGAGCTTCCGGTCGATGACCCCGAAGATCAGCAGCGAGCGGAAGAACTGAGAGAAGTGTTGGACAAAATTCTGCAATTCGAAAAGACGGAATGCCCTTTCAAGCGCACCTTTACTGTCGATTTGCCAGAGCAGGTTCCCGTCACAATCCTGCCCTGGACGCCGCGCGCACAACCTATGACTCCTTCTGAGGAGGCAACACCAGCATCCTCTACGGACTCACGAAGGTCTTCCTTTGTTGGGAGAGCTTCTACACCTACTCTATTAATTCCTAGACATCCCAGAGATATACCAACTAGCCCGATACCGACCAGACCCGAAAGCGCGGCTTCTAGCGTTGTGCCTTCCAACATATCTCTTTATGAGGAATATGGAATGAACCTTGACCCTCTGCAACCGTTAGGTACAGGGAATGCCGGCACTGGGCCCTTGGAGGCTGTCCCCGAACGTCCAAGTGAACAAGGCTCTCCAGATATGCTAGAGTCTCACGATAGGTCATCTGTACTCTCTTCCAGCCCCACGGAAGATGATTCCTCCGTATATCAACTTCACGAAGGCTCCGGAAATCGAGGTGGCAATATGAAGGCCAGACTACGACGACGAACTGGGAATTTCACAACAAGATCTGCCACGATGCCACCACATACGATGTCAACACTTGATGAGTCTACACCGTCAGCTTCCACTTCAAGGGAGCCTCTCTCAAGAAGTGTGTCGGAAACAACAAGAAAGCCGACTGGCCGTACTGCAGATACCACCTCTTCTCCCCAGAAAAAGAATAAAGGGGATGTGAAGGCCTCCCAGTCGCCACAGCAAAAGGTCAATGCTCAACAACCGCGATTACTACGTAGAGATAGCGAGGAATCTTTCCATAGTGTTGAGTCATGGCATTCGTCTGGAGCTCCACAGCATCCCTCGCCTCCTACTTCCCAAGCAGAATCTTCTATGGAGGCAAATAATGACCCGTACGAGGCAAATAGACTGTCAGCCGGCAAAAGAAATAAATCATCACATAGCAGGGGGAGTTCTCCCATGCCATGCGCATGGGAGTCCGACTCTGATGACGATAGCAAAACATCCGACGAAAGCTCATCGTCGGATGCGGATTCAGTGAGAGAGCTCAAAAATGATGCCTTCCCCAAACTTGACGCCATCCCGTCGACAACAACTACGACCACACCACAGCGGCCATTCGTTCCACGCCATAGAGCGACGACCGGTAGTATCTCTGTAAGGCGACGCGCCCTATCACCTCTGCCACCAGCAGCCAACCTCTTCACACCTGCTTCAACCATGGAACGGAGACCATACAGGAGTAAGTTGGAGACGGTTAAGAACCTTCCAATGGCTATCATTGCCAAGACCTACGAGATGATCTTGGGTCCTCCCAGCTCTCTCATCCGGCTAATCCTCAAGGTGGCAGCTAAGATTGCTTCTGGACAATGGCGAGGTCTCGTGTATGGGTATGGAGAGGATGGCGAAGAAATACCGGTGCAGTGGGATTACTCTGAGGGAGAATTCAGCGACTGGAGTGATGATGAACATGATCGGCATGATCGCGGTCATAAACAAGGGAAGCGAGAGCATTGGCATAGCAGACACCGCAGCAATGCTCAAGATATGACAGCAGAGGATGAGATGCGCAGGCGACCCTCGTCCTCTGACGATAGCCGAAGCTGGGGTGTTGATTGATCGATTAAGAGTGATGTGCTTAGTACGTGCTATGCTTATGCTGAATGATGCTGAAAGGTCCGTATTGAGAACGTTTCTATGAATAAGACGCAGTGGCATATTGTGGTGTAGCGGGACGTTTTGGTTGGGCGCATGGGATAGGACCAGCCGGCGTTCACTGTAGGGTTCAATATATGGATGGAGTTTTATTAAACATTTCTTCAAACTATACAGTTGGGCTCAGGAGTTGGTATGAGCGAGTCACTTTGGCATTTATCCAACATTTAATTGTACACTATAGCTTTATTTCATAAACATGATGATACTCTACTCTACTATATTCACTTCCTTGGCACCCTGTTAACCATCCTGAATCCTAGTCAAAAAGCAATTCTCTAATGCATTGCGACCATCTATATCCTCTAAACTAGCCCCTTAGGAGACAGGATAACTTATACCCAAATATAAGGTGTTATAAATAAACTTGCCAAACGATATCCTGAATTACCTAAATATTTTTACTACTTAGGATCAATGTCCTGAGTTTTCTTTCCTCTCCTAGCAGCCCTAGAGAGACCTACTAAACAGTTTCAGTCTTGAATCCTGCAGTATTGGTCGAGTCTGTTGGCCGCCCGAGGCCCCCAGCCGTTTCCCAGAACTTGTCAGTTTCCCGGCCACGACCAGTTACCAACCCCTGAATATCGAAAGGATCGATAAGGGTTTGCCACAACCTCCTCGGGTCCTTGTATCCAGGGCCCTCCATCTCCGTAACTCCGTCTGGAGAGAGATAAATCTTGTTGTTTCTGGGAAGGTATCGTCGGGGATGCCGTACGTTGAACATGATAAGGTTGCAAAGCATAAGAGCTGCCTCAAACACATAGAAGAACCACTCGTATCTCACGACAGGACTAATTGTTGCTGGATCAAAGCCTGGACCGTACCTGAGTTCCGCAACATTGAAGTACTCCACAATGCGATAAATGATTCGCGCGAGAATCAGGGTCATGCTGATATACAAAGTCCATAGTGGCTTGTTGAGCTGCTCATTCGTGGTACCAGCGACAACACATCGACGGTGAAACGTAGCAGCCAGAGTAATAAACAGTATTGCTACAAAAACCTGTAAGAGCAATGAGGTCTTGATCAGGGCATGACCTATCTCAATCTCACTGTCGGTCAAGGATTGATTCGCCGAGTATGAAGCACCCCACCCATTTAGAGCCTCAACGATGCCTGAAATAAAACCAAAGGTTGTCAGGACACGCCCGGGGTGGATGGGTGAGTTGTGCGGGACGTAGTATAGGATTCGACCGAGAATGCGATAGTTCTGAAGTTCTAGTAGCGGTCTAGAGAGGTCATTGGACGGTCAACATGCTGCACCACGATGAAGTCTTGAGTCCTGGGTAACCTACGGAGCTGCATAAGTGATACAGACACTTGCAATGAAAATGTCGAGATTTTCATAATGGAAAGCTCCATATACCCGAAGTGCGAAGCCCGTAGTAAAGAGAAGAGAGCAGAACGAGAACAGAGGTGTCAACTTCCAACACTTATACAGTCTGCAAAATATGATCAGCTACCATGAGTATTATAACTCTTCCATACATCCTATGTTGGATTGGACTAGAGACTCACAGGCACTGCCATATGTGGAAGCATCCTGTGCAACAGAAAGCGAGGCAGAAGAAAATGGCGGCACCTTTGTTGGGCGCATAGAACCAGTAGCTCCCATCAACTAATATGTGGTCAACCCTCAGCGATTTTAACGGTTGTCAAGTATGAAAAGGGATGCCGTACCGTATTTCCCGTCAGACATGGTGGTGTAACAGTAACAAGTGTGTATAAGTGTTATGAGTCCTCCCACCGTGGTTTTCTTCACATCGAGACTACATTCTCAAGGAGTAAAGAGAGAAACAAGAGAAACACTCCGACTTATATACTCAGCCATGACGATAATATCAATAGCAAGGCCCCTGTGATCATCATAGGTCCATATGTAATTCCATTGCAGCTTCACCCGATACCATCACTCTTCAGCCCCGTGGTGCGAGTAATTGCCCAATCGTGGACGAATGCGATGAATACGATTTCCTAGTTGGCGGGTCATGGAGCAAGCCACCCAATCCCAACACATCTTTCTGACCCTTTCTCAGTGGGCAAGGCACTTCAATTCCGTATGACTTATCTCGCATTGCCCGTATTCGTCGTGTTGTTCATTGAAATGCGGCTGCCTTGCCTTCAGTACATGTTTGCCATTAGGCTCACCTCCCGTCGGGTCCCATGTGTACCGGGGAAGATCTGTCAAAGCCTGCAAGAAATCATGGACCTAGGAACTTGTACTCGGTGAGAGATGCTCAGCGAATATTGGCCTCAGGGCAAGAAAATAACAGGCCTTAATACAGGTAAGGTATTAAAAATAAACTTAGTAAAAGTTATCCTAAGCTTAGGCTATATTACCTAAATCCTTTTATTATCTAGAATCGAGGTCATAAGTTTTCTTTCCTCCCTTATATTTAGGTATCTATAGTAATTAGCGCTTTTTATGTGAACTGTAGAGCTGAGAGATCAGAGCTAATACGGAGTACATACCTACCTAGAAAAAACCTTTATTTTACCGCAAGCCTTTTCTCTTTGAGCCCCAGTAGTGTAGCTTGTCACAAGAACAGGCTTGGTCAACATTGAATTGATACAGCATTAGTACATACCCTTAAGAAGCAAGAAAACACCAGACCTTGATACAGGATATCAAAATTAATTTAGTAAAGAGCCCCCCTAAGCTTAGGCTAGGTTTACCTAAATATTTTTATTGCTTAGGGTCAAGATCCTGTGTTTTCTTTCCTCCCCTAGCATACCTACCTGGAACAGAACACCGAAACGATGCACGGATCGATCGGGACGAAGAATCAAAACGACAGGCACGGGTCATGATGTTTGGGTTGTTGCCCTAGTAAATGAGCTCAATGTCGATGCAAATTGCAAAATGGATCAAATACCTATGCTCATAATCCTCTTATACCTTAGGTGCATCTAAATTGGTATTTGATGCGGGCGAACGAATCAGATCAAGGCAAATTGACGAGAAGGAATGATGAAATGGCATGGCCCATTCGGCGGTTTTATTTAATTGAGACAATCCATGTGATCCTTCATCGACGAAGGATCGGAAAAGGAGAACACAGCCTTCTCAACCCCAGAATTGTGAATTCGATAAAGATTGGCTGAGCAGAAAAGAAAGTGCACACATGCCGTGCCAAACGTATTTGTTTTTGTAAATGTAAATTTCCATATATACCTACGTCACAGTATGTGTTAGTTTTCACATATCACCGCGCGGTATCCGTATATCATCTCATACTTGTGATGCAGTCAGTGGTTGCAGGGGGCTTCCAAGAATGTTTCTAGAAACTTAAGGGCCCGAACCGACACAGAGAGTGGGTTCGGTTGACCCTGTACGTTGATCCTGGCGATCCTAAATTTGTCATTCAAGAGACTCCGCAAGCCTGTTTCCATGTTGCTGATGCTGCAAAAGCCGTCAAAGGCATTATATCCGTAGTTGCAATTTACTTTTTCGCATATCGATTTCGCTACTTACCTAGTTAGGTTTGCATGAGCCAAAAATAAACACGTTCTAACGAGGACGTGCCTCGTTTTGGGATTCCAATACGTATCTTTGCCACACCTTGCGGTCACTTTTACAAGCCTCAATCAGTTTTTAGCGTGGGATTGCGGGGGTCCCTTGGCTTGGCCTCTGGGGCAAATGAGAAGCGAATCCGCTTAGTGAGGTGCTAACAGCTCGTTTCGGGCAACATCTTGTACCCGGTTGTTTGTTCCTTGGTAGTTGAACTCTTTTGGTCTGACACGAATTGTTTGTCTTTGGCCTTGTTCTCTCTGAGTGGTGATTCTTTATGTGCTGAGCATGAACATCTAAAGAGTCACAATAACTAATTAGTGCATACGTCAGTGCATCGATATCCTGTCGTGACAAACGCCAAGAAACAGATCCTCATCATCCTTGTCTCACAACATCCATCCACGGGCGCCGTGCGGGCCCCATATCAGACGGCGGCCGATAGCTAGAAGCGGTCATAGCCATCTTTCAGCTCAGCTCACCAGAGCTCTTCCGGGTCAGGTGGTAATCAAGGACCAGCCTGGGCCTAATACTAACTTGGGACCTCTGTAGCTGAATCTATCATTCTATCCCTTGACAAACTGCACATTCACTAGGTACCTTAGACAACAGCTCCGGGCTGCGCTGTATCACTACCTACAACACAAGGGCTTCGCCTCTTTTGCTCCTTACCTCACTCACCTCAGATTAAGGAACCTCGGTCTTTTTCTGACCGGGCACGCTAAAGGCCATAGGCGGAGAAGAGTTCTAAGCCTCCTCCTAGAGCAAGCAACTCCATATACTTATCCATCCGTCCAGCTCACGGATCTTGACGACTTCTCTCTCTCTCTCTCTCTCCTCCCTTACTTTTGCCAGATTCTCAAATCACTGCTGGCTGTTGTCCACCCAAGCCGGGCACCGCGTCTGTTAGCACAATTGTTATGATCTGACGCCTGCCATAGAGTCACTATCTCACCACTAACGATTTCGCCCGCCAAATCTTTCTGAATCCACTGCATTCGATCCATCACATTAACCCCTGGTGAATCTGTTGCTAGTTCGACGTAACGTCACGAACAGTACCTGTCTTTCAGCCGCCATCTCCCGCCAGTTGCCATCATGGGGGAACAACCAGGCATTTACGTTCATCTGGAAATGGGCGTCCCACTGCCCAAAATCATGTCCAAGGACCGACACATTACTTATGTATCAAAGAGCATGCGCGACCGAGCCAACCAATTTCCTCGCCAAATACCTCCAACAAATACCAACTATCTCAACGCTCCAGCACAGTACCAGGTCACTCACCAACAAATGCCGGCCCAAGCCCAGCACCCGCAGCAACAGTTCACTCACCCCATCAGAAACCCACCTCCCAATATCTACAGCAGAGATCCCGTGTCGGTTGGCATGGCCCATGAGCCCACATATCAACCATATCGTCCCCAACAAGCAAAACACCACATCAAAGAGTACTATGCACCAGCTGCCCCAGCGCAACAACAACCACAGCGAGAAATCCACCCCGAAGAGCTGCGACTAAGCTCAAGATCCGCAGAAAGAAGTTCTCACGAGCGTGGAAGGTCGGCACCCCCTCCTTTGAACAGCAGTCCCTGGGATGTGACCTCCAACAATTCAGGAGGCGAGCCCCAAGTTTGGAAAGCTTTGCCTGCAACTCCGAATCAGTTCCGACTTGGCGAGGGCGACATGCCATGGGACGGCTGGAGTTTCCCCATGGAATTCAATGATAGCAATGGAGATGATGACAGCAACGAAAGGGGAGAGAATCGCACTCGCTCGCGTGAGGCCAGCCTCCGAGCAACATGGGGACCCGAGTTCCCAGGAGAGCCGTCACGGTATGTCCAGCCTGTGCAAGTGGACGATCGAGCACGAAGCAAGGCCAAAGATATACAGTCCTTAGCTTCAGCACTGATGACGGTGGATAACGGGTTTGAAGACCAGTGGTGGTATCAAGGACCACGTCTCGTCCATCTTGATGGCACAACAGTCATGGTGCCTACAGCTGTTCCAAGGTCCAGCTTTCACCCAGACCATCAACAAAGCTCGGTAGGATGGGCTGTCTCGCGTGAAGAAGAGCAACAGCAGAAGGATTTTAAATATCAGCATCAGCTACAACATAGTCCCCGCGAACAGGAGCAGCAGCGATATCAGCGTAGCCGACAACGGCATCTATCTCTCCAGGAAGAGCAACTCGCGTCATTTGTCTCCCCAAATACTTCTTTCCAACCTGTGTCACCTCGATCGAGCCTTGCAGATATTGTGTCGCCTTTGAGCGACTATCCGAGTCCGCTGTCGAGTTATGGGGTACTACGGCGGTCTTTGACCACGAGATCGGATGAACTTCACATATAGTTTCCCCTGGATGCGACCTTTACCACTGCTGAGAAGTATGACAAGTACCCCGATACATTGACTTGTGACGGCGTCAAAATGGTTTAATGAGGAACATACATGGTTTCCCGCTATGGCGAAATAGTTGTTGGTTTGCGAGTCAAAGAGCCCCACCCCAGAGGATACTCAGGTCTAATGAATGGGAGACTTACCATGTCATATGTTTTCAGGCGCTCAGAAGATGTCTTTGGTGAATGTACATATGATGGCGTTAACAAAGATTTTGACGTCATTCAGATACCTTTTTGATTTGGGTGTAAGGAAGACTTCATTGGCCTTTTAAATGACGAAAACCGTGGTCTAGTTCTGATACAATAGCTCTCGTCTAGTGATTATTAATTTGGAGCCAACAACATGATCAAAGTAACTGATTCTGGGCCTTGGACTGGGACCAAAGAAGATAATCATAAAAGTGAAATGAACGTTGACTGAGTTCAGGGCAATC